CTTACGATTGATCGTCGTCATCAAAATTATCAAGAAAGTAAAAAAAAAAACGGTTTGATTTTGGAGAATTTGATCAAATTGTGCAAGAATTGCAGTTGTCTTTGTCCTTCCGTGAAGAAAAAAACATGGCTTCTCTCAGATTTATCAAACAATATGAAACGGAAATGTGACGAATCTTTCTGTAATGTGCACCGGATATAAAAGAGCACCCCCCCTCTCGTTGGTCCGTTTCTTTACTGCACTTCTTTGAAGCACATTTGCAAACGTACAAGGCATCTAAATAAGTCTCGCCAGCCCCCACACCCACTCCACCCCCAACCTCTTGGAACAGCTTACGAGCCAAGTCTAAAAACACAGCAAAGACAGAGCAAAGCATTCTCCCCCCCCCCCCCAGAAAAAAAGAAGAAAATCATGTGTATTGGGAAGAATTGAACTTTTATCACATCCATTGACCAATTTAAGTTCGGTACAGTGAATAACTGTAATCGTTATTTTGTGCCCGAATACTACCTGGGTACGTAAACTGGCCCAAAAGGATCCAGTTTATGCAAACTGGTATCTGGTCTTACGTAAACTAAAGGCTAAAATCAAATGGGATCGGGCATCTCATAACAAGGTCCAAAAGGGATTGGGTCATTATACATGTGCCCCGTCACCCACTCTCTATTGTCTCAAGGTTATTCATCAGTTTTTTAGTCCTTATCAAACCACTATCGGCCACCGGTAAAAACGTAGATCTTGAGTCAATATATTGTGAAGCACAAATCTTCTGCTACTTGACAAATTGTCGGCGTGTTTGCTAGTTTGTCATCTCGCATGTTATTTCCGGTTTGTTTTTTTATACCTATATGGAACTTCTCAGGATGAATCAGCATAGGCAAAAATGTAGATAGACTCCCTATTATATACACACACACACACACACACACACACACACACACACACACACACACACACACACAGACACACACACAGACACACACACACAAACACACAAACACATACTCACATGTGATTATATATATATATATATATATATATATATATATATATATATATATATATATATATATATATATGTTTTATATTATATACACATATAAATTTCTATATATATATATATATATATATATATATATATATATGTATATATATTATACTATATATGTCCAGACAAACCTGACCTGCATTAATGCCTTAATGGTCACCTCTATAACATTGGATGGCTGTATTTAAAAAATTCGACAGTATGTTGTGTGTGTATGTGTATGTGTGCGTGTGTGTCTGTGTTTGTGTGTGTATGTTTGTTAGTATGTGTGTACGTGTGAGTGTGTGTGTGTGTGCGTGCGTGCGTGCGTGCGTGTGTGTGTGTGTGTGTGTGTGTGTGTGTGTGTGTGTGTGTGTGTGTGTGTGTGTATGTGTGTGTGTGTGTGTATGTGTGTGAAAGTTAATAGAAATAATATAAGTGGTGTGATAATTTGACAATTTATTTGTTAATAAGATGTCATTATTTTTCAAGCACGCCTTTAGTCTTTGAAAAAACGAATTGTCATAGAAAAAGTCATAGTGTCACACCATTAGTTCTAATATGGATGGCTGCACTGCAAAACGCACGATATCCATTGACTACAAAACTGAGAACAATGACCCCCCCTCCCCCAAAAAACCAACACCAACCCCCCCCCACCCCCCAACCAACAACAACAACAAAACAACCTCAACGACAAAAAAAA